AAAAAATCCACACATTTGTGCTTATACTGAGGGACTTAACTCCCTGCCTGGACTCCCGCCACAACTAATAAAATAACAAAAATAAAAAGTAAAAAAAGGGGTTCCCTTGCTTTAAAGTATTATTACTGTTTATGCTCCTTGCAGCACTGATAAATAAATCACTAACTAAGATCTGGACAGACCCCCTGAGAAACTCTCATACATAGAACAAAAATAGGAATATTGTCCCTGAGAATAATGTCTAAAATTAAATCAAAATGTAATGCGGGACATAAAGTTAGAAGGTTCATTACAACCTGACAGTCACAATGGATCAATGAGGATTGGACCTGCGGTCAACGCCGGTCCTCCCTGTCCGTCGCTGAGATGATCCTCTTTTTAACGTAGTCCATTGCTTTATTGGCATCCAGGAACTCCTCGTTTTCCTCCCCATGAGAGATGCGGAGCCGTGCAGGAAAAGGCAGGCCATAGCGAACATCACGTCGGTTGAGAAGAAGCCTCCTCCTAGAATGTTTGCCTTTCCTCGAGTTTGCCGCCATTCTTCTACTCTTCCAGGCAAGAATCACTCAGGGGTCGAGTGCAGACAGACCAAATGCTCAAAACAACAAGGACATTTAGTAGAGAACCACAAACAGAACAAGTCGGAGCGGGAGCCCACGCGACACACGTCTTACTCCTCTTCCGCCATCTTGCCCCCTCCTCACAAAACTGACAGTTTCTTCTAAACTTGGCTCAGAGTGAAACAGGAAGTGAAACAGGAAGTGACACCAAAGGGGAACTCTTTCATTTTTATTTATTATAACATTATTATTTAAACTCTGACTCTTCATCACTGATAAACTCAAAATAATTTAAAGAAAYATCAGATTCTTCTCTACAGTCTGTTGTTAGTTATAACACTTTGTTTACATTCAGACATTCCCCTTTGACATCACTTCCTGTTACTAAATGTGAAAATATCTCTTCTCACAGCTGTCAGATTGTTTTTACAAGATGTTATTAATGTTTCTAAATCTATGTTCATATGTATTACAGAAATATGTAATAAACACAATATTGTAGTTTTTGTTTGAGTGTTCTGATTTTACTGTGCTCACATTAAACAGATTTATTATTTATTTATTTTATTGTATTTTGATCACTGCAGCCACCTGGTGGGAGGTGTTTGGACCTGCTGTTTAAAACCAGGTCGACTAAACTGTTCACTCTATTAGATCACTAAAATAACTTGTAACTGAATAAAGTAATAAGTACAAATTTATCAAACAAAAACTAATAAAATTCAAATGTTGCTATAAAATTGAATAAAAATGATGGTTCTTCTAGTGTTTCGTTTAATCATCAGTCAGTGTGTTCAGTGATCAGACAGCAGGGGGCAGTGTTGCTCAAACAATCACAACAATGACTGAAGATAAACTGTTTGTCTCCCTTCATTTCTTTTCTGTCCAACATGTCCC